AACTCCGTTCGACGCACCCAGTTGTAGCCGTGCATACACCGAAGAAAGGCGTGGTCGCGGTCCAAGCGTACCAACATGGCTTGTGCTTCGTGGCTCGCGTCTGGGTACAGCACGCGCCAGGCGTCGCACCACGTTTGCGCCAGCGATAGGTGCATGGCCGACTCTACGATGAACTTTTACATGAGCATCGACGCGAAGAAGCATGCATACCAATGTCGAGGAGGATCTTTTGCTTGATCGGCGTGCTTTGGCACTGGTAGACCGTGTACAGCGTGAACGTATGGCCGAGTACCTTGAGGCGCAAGGCGTCAACGACGTACTGGTCGTGATGCTCGCGCGTGCCATGGCGACAGGCGAGAATCGACTCGACGAGGAGGCCTACATTGGCACATGTCGTACGACATGTCGCTCGCTGCCTGCATGTACGTACCTAAGGCCTCGCGCAGCATCATGTGGACAATCTCGGGGCGCGCGACCGAGGCAAAGTCGATCTGGTACATGCGCGAGAGGCCATGCGCCTTCCATGCGCCCTTGAAGCCCGCAAACGAGTAGTGGCGCTAGGTGGACAACATGAGGAGGAGGTCGATGGCAGGCAGTAGTACGTCGGCGAGGAAGGCGCTGACCATGTTGAGCACCTCGTTGCGGAAGAGCTTGGCAAAGTCCTCGAGCGCGAGCATGTCCCGGGCCTTGGACGCACTCACGCAGGGGCGGAGGCCCCACAGCGCGCGGTCCTGCGGGTTCATTCTCGCGGGCCAGCGAACTCTTTCGCATCAAGTACGGTAGTATCCGGATGGACCATCCAATCACAAGCGAGATCGTGCATCGCCGGTTAAAGATCGCAATAATCGCACGCCAAGAAAGCAACTTCTCGAGTTACCTTGCGAAGTCGTCTCGCCAAGGGTGCTCTCTGATGTCGAGGACGCTATTTACGAGCGGAATGCGCTTGCTTTCTAGTGTTGCGACAATAGTACATTTACAAAAATACCGTTGATCCGGAGTTCTAGAAAGTTACGCTTTGAAGGGCTAACTAGGTAGAATCAAGGGCGCCTCATCAAGCTCTGTTCTAGCCATAAGTCAAAGCAAACAGCCGCGCCAAGGCATCGCTTGCATGCTCCATTTTGACGAGTTTTACCCGACGAACCCGATGAATAAACGCATTTTTAACGTCAACGTTACGAAGGAGGCGCTCGTTGATGTTTTTACGGTGACTAGCAAGCGCCTTGCTCCTCTATCATGTTGAATCCTTAGCGCCGGACGGAGGCGATCCATTTCTGGCGCATACGATGACATGGCAAGGATGATTGCAATGGCTTGCTTTAGTTCTCTCAGTGTGTTTGATGCAGGGGTACCCTGGTTTGATGGGCCGATACGCTGTACTAGTAGCGAAGCAACAGCGCACGAGTACAAGCAAGGTCAGGCACGACCACGTTCTGGCGCGTGACGGATCCACGGAATGCAACCAATGTCATATTCGCTAGGCTGCACAAACTGAGCCTTGTAGCACGCTACTTGTACGCCAAGAAAGATCACGAGAGGCGATGAGCTCTCTTGTGGGGGCAGAGCCAAACGCTACAAGAGTACTACCGTTATGCATCCTCCAATCAAGCAGGCACGGATAGCCGTAATCATCGTTCCCTGCGGAACGAGGTGCTTCGGTTGTTCTAATAGAGTGGCCTGGTGATCGATGATAACGTCGAGCGGTCATCCCAGCTTCTTGGTCGTGTGACCAACTCTGTCCACTGCAAGGCCATTTCTGTGTGTTGAACGCCGTCGATGCCAGCGTTCATACCTACTGTAGTGGCCTATACACTGTTCTGTCGCCACACAAGCAGCGTCGCCACACGAGCCCAGCACGGCGTCCCATTGCGTGTTGACGCTACAACAAGGTGTTTATGGCAGCATTTCTACGTACAACATGTGATGCCCAAGACGACCCACTTCAACAACAACATGGGATGCCCATCATTGTTACTCGCCGCAATCCAAGAAAAGTGTCCTTGACAGGTCGCGCCAAGCTGTCGCGCCATGTTCCGTTTTGAACCATATACGATGTCTCCTACAAGCGGCGAAGCGGCTGACGAAGAGCGTAGTCTTGAGCCATTGACCTGGAGCAGTTTTATGCATGTGT